GGCATACCCTCCCCCCCCCCCATCAAAAAAAAAAATCTCCAAATTTCATTAACTCATCGGAATTCGATTCTTCACGCAGTGCTATGCAATTTAGAACAAACTTTTTGTAAAAAGTTAAGTATTCATCTTACTCTCGAAACACTGCAAATTTTCGTTGATTTCGGGCGCTGCGGGGGCACCCCCCCCCCCCCTGGTCCGCCAGTGCGGCGGCTGACGGCTGCTTGTTCCCATTGTTTTCATAACCATAAAACAAAGACGTGGGTGCACCCCCCCCCCCCTCTTGTATTGACCCTTCGTGTCATATTTGATTGATAAATCAGGGAAGTAGTCCAATAAAGGCGGGATTACCATCGCGAGTATAATAACTGAAGTTCCTTATGGACCCTGGGCTCGTGTCAGACTTCTGCGTTGCAACTCGCTGGCACCAGCGATATTGCTCTGAGCACCTCCGCTGTGATGGAGCCGAGGCGGAGGCCGGAGAGTGCGGCAAAGCACTGAAAAATGCTTCGATTCGAAAACAGTCCGATGCAGGCTCGTTTGCTTTAAAAATAACAAAATACTCAATGGATATCTAAGCAAAGGTAACTGAAAATGAATATCACGTTCATTGGCGAAGAGATGCCATCGCTGTCGAATCACGAAACCTGTATGGTCACAAGGTCCCGCGAATCCGGACGCCCAGTGGCGCGGGAACTTCTTCCAGACTGGGGGGGGGGGGGGGGGGGCTGAACCATCATAGAGATCAACCTAGGGTACCCCCAAATCTAGTTTTCTCATCGGTTTTAGGCCACTTATTTTTCAGACCTTGGCCTTTTCAACGAAAAAAAAAGAAGAAAATATTTGCAAAAAAGTGAGATAGGTATTCCGTCTCAGCTGAGTGAAGAAACTACCGTTTTGGCAACCTGGAATAAAGGTTTTAAGCTGCCAAATGAGTTGCCGAGTCAGTAAAATAGGTAGATTTTTCACTTACATGCTTTCTTTCTTTGTGACTCACAACCCCTAATTTGGGGAGGACAAGCTGCCCCAACGGTTCCTGGCCTCATAAAAAGATGTGAGGCACCGCCCCCACGGCCCCAGAGTTGTGAGGGCAAGCTTCCCCCACTGCCCTCTCCCCCGGTTCCCGCGCCCAAGATTACTTTCTCGCGCCTATGTATGAATCTATGAAATTGTGTTGGTAGATTTCCGATTTCGATTCCTCCAGCTGGGGGGGGGGGGGGGCTCAAATACATTACGAGCCCCCCCAGCCGAAAAGTTGGAGGGGCTCAGCCCCCCCCCCTAGCCCCCCCGGTTCCCGCGCCACTGCGGACGCCAGTCGCCAATATCCTTCATTTACATGTTGCTTGCATTCAAGTCATACAATGCACGAAAAACATGATGCTTTTCAAAGCAATGACCAAACGTTTGAGCCTCTAAAACAACAAACAATAAGTCAGCACAGTGAAAACCACCCTCCAGGAAATGCCGAGCATCAGCCCCGAGACGCGAACCTTCCGGAAGGTTCGGCCGGGCGACGCGGCCAAGATGGCCGCCCCTCCGCCAGGTCAGAGACGTCAGGTCGGCGGGGCGTCTTTTTACAGAGGCGGATCCAGCTCAGAGGTTTGGGGGGGGGGGCAAACCATAAAAATTTATCGATTCTTTCCATGCATCGTCCATAGGCGTAATGTTAAAATCATGCCGTTTGGGGGGGGGGGGGCAAATGCCCATTTTGCCCCCCCCCCCTGGATCCGCCACTGTCTTTTTAAATTACATATAAAATGAATCCATGTGTGACTACTCAATTTATTATTTCAGAAAACCTGTGAGAAGAAACAGTGATCGTTTGATCACCGACTAACCTGCAGGCGATCCCAGAATGAAGCTCAGCCCCCTCAAAATCCGCAGCCTGTGTTTCAAAGTCAAAGCGCAAGGAGTCGGCCATCTTGATCGGCAGCAGACGACGCGCCGGCTTTGTGGCCACTCTGACTCACTGATACAGGGCCTCCTCTAACATACCCACTGGGTGGGCAAATGCCCACCCAGTCACCATAAATGCCCACCCAGTGGCGTCGATTTGCCCACCCAGAAGCAAATGCAAAAATAAAGGTCCGGCCGGACGTCCGGTACTACCACTTCGGTTTCCCGAAAAAGAAAAGCTAGCTAGCAGCCAGTGCCCCAGTGCCTCACTCACTTCCAGTTATTTCTTAATATGGAAGCATTCGTGACCTCTAGATGACCTCAGGTCACCCGAACTTGGAAAACCTGGATGTTGGTTATAAATATACAACTCGGTGAGCTTAGCATACCCTGCCAGTTTGAATCAAGAACAACTCTGTTACTCTAGATTTCATTGGCGAAATAGCTTATTTTCAGTGCCATTTTGACCATGTACCGGTTTTTGTGACCTTGTGACCTGACCTGAGGCCATTGGAACACAAAACTCACAGGTCACACGTCAATTGGCTGCCCCAAGTTGTGTCTGAAATTTGGTGACGCTAAGTTTTATGGTTCTTACGCTATAAACGATAAACTCAGCGATTCCGTCTCCGCTAATATAGTCCAATTTTACCCTGTTATTGTACCGGTTTTAGTGACCTGGTGACCTGACCTAAAATAGCAGAGACCTGAAAATTTTAAGGGAAGGTGTCTAAAGGTTGCCCCAGAGGGTATGCCAAATTTTGCGGCGCTACGCGCCGCCGTTTTTACGTTATTTGCGAAAAACCTAAGGGGGGTTGCATATCAACCCCCTTGGCCCGGCGAGGGTTAATGTCGATATAGGGCCGTATATAACTAGATGAAGAGGACGCGTCAAAAGTAAGCTGACCATGCCTCCTAAAAAGAGGCAGCGAACATTATTAGATTTCTGCTTCAAGGAGCCCGAGCAGTCATGGACATGGTAAGTTTACGTTAACTTTGCAAACTATCACCTTGTTTCCAATAATGGCACAGCTTATTTGGTCCCCCCCCCCCCCGGCCCCGTCACAGGTTTTGAAATTGGGTGAACCCCAAAAGAAGTGGCTGGATCCGCCCTTGGGCAGGGGAGCGGCGAAAAATTTTGCCCACCCAGTGAAAAATCCTTAGAGGAGGCCTTGCACTGATAAATACATCACTCACACTCACCACTAAAAACACTCATCCCTGACCCCAATCACACACTTCACGAATCACTGATCACTCAATGAGCACCGCACTACACCATTTTTCAACACGAAAACACTGCGCAACTCCACCAACGCATCGCTGTCACCTCCGCACTGACTTCCGGTTTAGGGCGGGCGCCGGGGGAGGGGAGGGAAGGAAGAAAGCTTTCGCTGGATACAAATCATGCTATGAGATTGTAATTTGTGCTAATTATGCATTAAAATGGACAGACGGTAAGATTTTGAAAACATTTGAACCAAGATAAAGTATTTTTATTGCAAAAAACAAAACCAAAATAAACATTTAGTGTGGTTTCAAGAACTAATATAATAGGTGTTCAAAAACAATAGTTAGAAAACAACAATAACAATCTAAGCAAATTATGATCATTGTGACAACACAGAGCAAATGTTGAACGTGGGCTTCCATTTATAGGTCTCGATTTATCGTTGTTGCATTGTCAAGCTTGCAGCATTTTGCCACCACTTTTGGAAATGGACAACATTTCCATGATTCTGGCAAGAGGCATCTATGATCATTGATCATGCCCCATACCTATGGTGGGTCGTGATGTACCTAACTAGCGTAAAAACGTCAGGTCCCGTTGCTTTCTCAGCTGCAACAAATCATAAACAGCTGCATAGTGCATATCTACCGAATCACTGGCACCGGTCACGAAAATTCCTGAAAAGTGGCCGCTCTAGTAGCCATCGCGTTTGTGCAGTGCACGGGAATTACAAAGCACAGAGCACTGCGGTAGTTTTTTTCGAAGACCTAGGGTAAAATGGGGCGGGCGTGGGGGGCCTTGAATGCCTGGATTTATGTCTATGAAGGAGTGGACTGAGGTCTACCGAGATGAAAAAAGACTGGCTGGAGATATTGCAATAAAAAATCTGACAAACGAAAAAAGAGGAGGAAGGAAAGGGACAAAAAAAAAGATGAGGAAAGCACTAAGCAGCAAGACTGAGCAGTTTCGCCGCAGGCAGAAGCTCTTTTCTGGCGAGTATTCAATCCTACAATGTCCATAAGAACAGCTCTCGGCAGGCACAGAACCTTTCCCTGCCCTCCTCCCCTCCCCCTGGCTGATGTTCTCGAATCAACAACCCATTTTCCGTCACCCGAGTGAGCCGCGGAGTGTTTTTACAAAACACCCTCGTATTTACACGCAGACCACGCGCTGGATCTTCGGCCAGATTTGAGATTGGTCAAATTTGGCCATTATGGAGATGTGCCAAAGGAGTCGCACCACGCCAGGAGTGACGCCGGCAGAAGGCAGAAAGCGATGTTGGATTTCTCAACATGTCTGAAAACTCAGATCGCGGCGGTCAACAGCTCCTTATGTGGAAATGGTGATGTTTTGATAGTTGTCAATCAGTCTCCAGTGATGGGGAATAACGATATGATTTGCTGGCGAGTGGTTATCGCGACAAAATAACCCGTGGGAGGTCTGGAGAAAATGCTCCGATATGTCCTGATTCCTTCTCAGATTGGGAGCCAGCCAAAATGCAAATGGAGATTCTAGTCAGGCGCCATCCGCTTATCAGCAAAACAGTGGAGACCTATAATGCTAACCGACGCATTTTATGTAAATTTATGCACACATACGGCGCACTTTCAATGTGTTCAATCATCTATGGCTGCCTACCATTGTGGCACGAGGGGGAAATAGGCAGTGTCCTACCATTTAGTTATGGAACATTCTGTATTATTTCATTGCAGCGTAGCCTCCCCTAGACGATCAGGCTAACGCCTGAATAGGTGAGTCGTTCATATCATATGAACAAATCGCGTTTTGTGTACAGACAGTTGCAACAAGTTTACAACTCATCTCTTCACTTCTCGTAAGCGACAACCATCAATCGGACCACTTCAAAAAGCTGCAATGCCAGCCACATAACGATTTATTCACATTCAAAACAACCACTTATCCTCACAGAACACTTCAAACTACAATACTTTCTCGCATCCCTCGCTGTCACATTTTTAGGAGGTGCCCACTAACATTAGGTATTTCACGTGCCTCATCGTTCAACAATTTGGCGCCCAGCCAAATCAGCGTCAGCGAATCAGACTTCTTGTAGGCTCGGAATTACATTGGGTCTTTGGTTCGCCCACATTCACGTGCATTGATCATCCAAACATCATCCATTCCACATATGCACGATCTGGCAACAAAATAAACTAAGCCATCCCGTCGCACTACGCTTCAGTATGTGCTGCCATCTTTTGACTAAGACAGAAAGCTATAGTATCCATACATGTCGCACCGTGCACACAATTGGGCCGGGAATCAGTTGTGTACGACCAACCACGAAATTTTCAACTCCGCGCTACATTTACAACACGTCGTAATTTAGCCGCGACGTAAGCGTTACAACATACTTTACGATATGCACAAGAAAGCTCTTACAACCGCAACTCAATCAAATTTAACAGCACTGTGAATCAACGACGCCGCAAATCTGCAACCACGATCCACACTTTTCCGGTGCAATCCTCCCTATTGTTTGTCTGACTCTTTCAACAGACAACACACCAAACCACTCGGCAGCTTACTAACCCTGTACGATGCACATTCACATGCCGAAACTAGCGCTCCGTCGAACATTTCAAGGGTGCATCACAGACAGTGTCCTCAATCCATAAACGGTTCGCCACCCGAGCTATGTAAGGCTGGCTCGACATTTCTCGTCTCAGGCAGCTCGGCCTTTGGTGCGACATCAGCTACACTAGCGCACTCTATCCTTTCAGTTCTGTTTCGCGCTCGCTGCTTCGCGCAACAGAGGCGTACTGTATTAGAACAGGCGCATTTAGAGTGGCCGTTTTAACTCTACGTGAGCTTGGTATTCAGGTCAACGTTCGAAGTTTTACGTTGATGTTTGGGTGTTAGCAAGGCTCTCTGGCCCGTTTAGATGACCAGCGAAGGAATGTAGAATGGACTCTCTGTTCTTATAAGCCACGACGTGGTTGTCGGAATGTCAAGTGGAATGAAGACGAAAACAAATTTGTCTGTCAGTAAATGCACAAACATGAAACAAAAGTGAGTATCTTTCTAAGTGCAAAAGTGGAGTGTCACCACGTTCAAGGATTCTCACAACAGCGTATGCTAGTTAAAGGACACTTTCTGCGAGTGTTGCATTGCTATTGACAGCTTTTGAGAAGCTCACTATTCAAAAGTGCCCGTGGATCATCTATGTGCTAGTTGTTTCCACATGCAGTGTTTGTGTAAGGCACAATGATTTTGTGATCGTAGGGAGCGAAAATTGGAGCAATTGTCTAGCATATGCAAGTGTGGCAAGATGACTAAACCGTGGATGAGATCTTGAGCATGACATAAAAATTTTCCTAGCATTTTCAAATCAGAGCTCATGATAACGACAGACCACGAAACAACGCATCTCTAGAAACAATGAGGAAAATCAGCTCCGATGTTTTGACAGTCTAAGTGACCGAGCTGGTTGAGAAATCACCAATAAATCACGTCAACCTAATAGAGAAAATGAGTCAACTTGAAACCGACGCCGTGCAACTCCAAACATAACCAAACGTCCTAGCCCGATGTAAGCATAACAATAAACAAAGCGGGTTTGCCCAGAAAATTGGGCCATTTAATTGACAAACCCCCTTCTTCCTTCAAATTCCCTTCAGCCTGCACCCTGCGGCCGACCAGTGGCTACGAATCCACCTCTGCACGATCACCCTGCCATCTAGCGGCCGCAGGCGTTACTCCAGCTTCTTCACCACTCCGTTGGTGGCGCTTCTTGGCTTCTTGGCAATGTACGAGTTGTAGAAGAAGTTGGTGAAGAGCGCGAAGTAGCTGAAGTACATGATGAGCGCCAGGTTGATCATGAGGTAGGAGACGTCACACTCTCCGCCGTTGGATTTGACGTGGATGGCGTAGAAGTTGACCAGACAGCCGACCACCATCTGGGCCAGCTGGCAGGCCGTGATGGTGACGGAGATCCACCTGTGACGGACGGAAGAGGTGCGCCGTGAACAACAAACAGCACGTGAAATAATTCACACGTAGAACGGACGAAAAGATATTCGAGGCAACCGGCAACGGACAGACGGCCTTGGGACAGACGGCACTTCGAGAAAATTGTGAGAACACGTAAAGCATCGTTATCCGCGGCACTCAGGAGGTCGAAAGCAACGGAAAGACAGCACTTTGAGGTTGAACGTCGTCGTCAACTGACCAGACAGCTTTGCTTTTCAGTCAAACACGTGGGAGAAAGAATACTTGGGAAACACGTCGCCATGACTATGCAAGAGACAGCCTCGCCTAGATCCGAAGACCATCTGAGAACCCTGGGACCTCTTAAAAAACCGTAAGTGAGCCGGAACTCACCAAGGAGGGGGCTCACTGGAGACCAAGGGCATTACCCACGGACTATAGACATTACCCAGGGCCTGAGGTTAGGCGAAGCCCAACAGGATTTAGTAAGTCACTTGGGGACGCGGTAGCGGGGTCCCTGTTCTGCATCTTACCTGAGGACCCGTGTATGTATCTATCTCCCTGGGATAGTTAGGCGCTGATGTGAAAAGTAGCTGACGCTGATGAGACCTTACCTGGGAACCCGGTAGCGCAGCGCCTTGAAGGCGTAGTAGCTGTACATCATCGAGTGGACCGTGTAGTTCATGTTGACGAACCAGCGCGCCGTGGTGATGTAGTCCGAGTAGCTGTAACAGAGAGGTCGCGGGTTCAACTCTCAGCACTGGCACATTAGTCCGAGTAGCTGTAACACAGAGGTCGCGGGTTCAACTCTCAGCACTAGCACAAAGACGCGATCTGTCTTGAGTGAGTTTAGTGGGGCGAATCGGCGAGACTGGAGCTTGGTAGATTCGGTTTCAAGATGACAAAAGTGCATTGCAGGATGGTTCAGTTGGTGGCGATGGCAAATAAAATACACAAGTAAAACATAAGAATACATAAAACGGTCACAAGTCAGAGCCCGCTCGGTCTCAGTCATGGCTCATAACCAAATACAGAATAGGCATACGGACAGACACAGCGTTCCAACTGATTGTAGAGAGGATGGCCGAAAACGAGCTGTTCCCGCTGACCTCAGCTCCCACTGAATAATCCACCGCTAGGAGCCAGAGACAGAGATCGCCATATGTCACCAAATCGTCATGAATACCGTATGCAAAGAGCTACCACATCCGTCTCCACACAGCAAATGTCACTCGCAAATATACCGCGGCTACGATCATGGCATAATGACAACGTGGATTGCATATTTGAATGGGTGGGCTAGGAAAATCGGTGACCAAACAAGGAAAATATGGCTACAGAGATGCTTTTATAGTCGACATCATACCCAAAATTGGGCGATATCAGCATGAGAACGTGGGTGAGAAGAGAAAGGAAAAGTTTGCCAGGACCCCGTAATCCCCACTGCTATGCTATGCGTTATGCAGTTGTAGTCAGCCCAATGGTGCAAGGCATTTGCAGTCAGGTAAGTTGTCAGAGGTGCTATTAATAGAGATAGGAGAAACGCACGACATGAGGCTTGCTCAATGTGTTCCATTTGCAGCTCTGCTGGTCTGAGCTACGGGTTCGAGCACATGCCTAAACCAGGCGCGAGTACATATGTGCTAACGGGAGCACCCGACTTATTTACATACACAAGAGTGCAACTGATGCAAAATATATATATCCCAGAGAGAGTTTATTTGCGTCGGGTGCTTGTAAATGCCAGCGCCTTATTGGTTACTGCGTTTCATGGCGTTAGCATGCAGGAAATGTCGTAACACGTAGACATCGCGAGGGAATACCCCTTGTTCGTTTGTTGGGGGTTAGGGGCGCGCCGACTGCGAGGTCATCGAGGGAATACTCCGTCCTCGCCTATCGAGATGCCGATTTCAGAGCATCGGGAGTGCTCACCAAACACTTCACAGGAGGATCTCAATAAAAACCCTCCCTGCTCCGAGTTACAAACTACAAAAAGGAGCAAAAGGGCGCTGCTGCTCTCACCTCCTCAGCATCCAAGAGATCGTTTAAAAAGAGAAAGAAATAGAGAAAGAAAGAGGCGAGAGAGATGTGGAGAGATAGAGATAGAGATAGAGATAGAGAGAGAGAGAGAGAGAGAGAGAGAGAGAGAGAGAGAGAGAGAGAGAGAGAGAGAGAGAGAGAGAGAGAGAGAGAGATAGAGAGAGAGAGGGGGAGAGGGAGAGGGGAAAGAGAGGAGAGAGAAAGTGGGAAAATAAAAAGGGAACAATGCAAAATCGTAGCGGCTTTCTACTATAGGAGCAGTTAAAATAAATACGAGAACAGTCCCTGAAATATCTCAGCACATAGAGCCACCGGGGATACACCAATCGCGTGCTAAAGCAGAAACGCCTCCAAAGGCGGATACAAAGTCACAATAGCCAGTCGATATTCTATTCACTCGTATCGCCAGCCATCAAAGGGCGTCGCGCAAGCATCACATTCGGAGCCAGAGAATACCAATCGATGGGCCATTGTCACCATACGGCGCGATGGCAGAAAATCGTTACGAACGTGCCGCTGTGAAACGAGTACCTGTCGACGGAATACTCCAAGAAGGCGTGGAATGGAGAATAATACCGGGGAAGTAACGGTATAATGGTTTGATGACTGACGAATTTAATGTTAGCTGTTAGCCTTGAATTTCAGCTTCTTTTACCTGAACTTCAGCAGCTTTTTCACTTTTTACAAAAATGGCTTTAGATGTCTGGGCGAACAAGGATTCCTACCGAACTTTGTTATAATAGGAACTTTCCAGAGCCTGAATACTTTGAAATATTGAACATGAGCTATCCATCATTTCCCTGGACAACAAACGTGTGCTCATTTAAAACCCAGGTTGGCCCAGCCCCTATTCAAAGCACCCAGCACCTACCCAGACCCACCCATCTGAAAATCCGGTGGACCCGACCGATACCGCACCCAGTTCACACTTTCATTCACACTACCGCACCAATTGGTCTAATTCCTTTACACTGTGCACACTTGACTGATTAGATATCCAACTCTGCACTGTGTATATGCGGGGTGGGGTACCGTCAGAGTCCCGTGGAGAGTAACGGTGGAGAGCTGCGGTGGCGAACTATTGGCGGGGGATAGGCCAGCATTAGCGGCGAAAGGAGGGTTAAGTCCATGAAGTTCACCAAAGACGTGATTGGAGCAGCGGGTAGGAGAAACGTCAGAGAAAGGTATGGGATAGCGTGGATTAGACTGGTGAGACTGGTGTGGATTACTGGGAGAAGTGAAAAGTGTAACAAGAAAGGGTAGAAGAGAACATAACAATACAAGACAAGGATATTATAGGAAAGAAGAAGAGAGGAAACAGATGTGGCATTATAAAAACGAGCAGCGAGACAAGCCGCGGCATCACGGACCGGAAGGAGTAAGCTTTTCCGATCAGTCACAAACAGCGATTACAATGGCACATCCGCATCGTCCTCCCCCTATCACTTCATGCACACACAGCTGACAAAGGCTCGACAACGTCCGCCCTCGCCTAACAGGGACGGAAGTTGCGTAACGCTCACCCAGCGAGCATACCATTGATCAATCCCTGGAGCCAACGGTGTCCACCGAAACAAATCAAATCCCGAGTCACCAGGTCCGGACCAGGTAGTCCGGACTCCGGATTGTATAGTCGACTACGGAATGATGTTCCACTTTTCACAGGCAATTATTTGCCTGGAGTGGTAGGCTGTGCCGCATCACACGGACTGAGTTCACAAAGTATAGCTGTGTCCCAATGCTCACAATCGACACGCTTAATTGCGTGATAAACGGCACAGCTTAGCGCTCCGGTCAACTGATAGCTTAGTGAGGAGTGGAACATCATTCTGTAGTCGACTATACGGGTCAGGGTCAATTGGTGGACGTAGGTCACGAGGTCCGGGTCATTACGTCCGGGCCACGCGGTTCTTGCCGCCGCCTAGTGACCCGGTAGGTCACCGAGTCCGGCTATGACGAGCCCTATGTCCGGGTTACTTGTGTGAGATCCACTGACATTGTAATGTCGAAAGCATCGCACTTCCGATGAGTGTCTTAGTGTCTTACGCAAACTGAGTAGTGAGTAATTGTGTTTCCCAGAAGGGATCCCGATGTAACTAGCTCTAAGTGGCTCTGAGATGAGGAATTCCCTTATCGTCACACCGTAAGCTTCTCAAGTGCGGACTGCGGAGACCGGGGTTCGCGAGAAGAAGGAGCGGAGCCAGCTTATGAATGCCCGCTGCCAAGCCTTGTCCGGTATGTATAGCCGATGTGTGAAGAGGGGTCTAACCAAACCACAAACTATGATGTAAGACGACGCAAAGGACATGTACATGTCTGAGGCTGCACCTTTCCAGACTTCTCTACCCTCACTATTGCGTGAAGTAAGCACACGTAATGAGAAGAGACTGAAAACATGTGTTCCCCACACCTGGGAGTTGTTAAAAAGGACGGATGTGACGCCTTTCAGGACATTTCTTCCCGGTCACCTTTCAGAATGCACTGATCTGATAAAATACATTGTCCACCAAAGCCGTTGTCACGAGCCTCACGCACAGCTGAGTGCGAATAATTCATGAAGCAGATTAAAGCAGCATTGTCGCACAAGCAAAAAAAAACACCGTTAAACAATGTAATGTACCGCTCGCATGATCAGGAACAAAATCAAAAAGATAATCTCGAACACAATCGTGTGGCAATCTCGTGAAGAAGAAATGGAAAGGCTCCAAGTCGCATGTTTAAAACCGTGTTTTAGCAAGTCAAGTGACACCTCAACGAAATACCACATCATCTCTAAATACACCCTGGTCATATCCTTCCACTGGCCCCAGTAACAAGCTCCGGAAGTCCGCTATCCCCCACCCCCACACAGCACCACACGGGACACCGCGACCGCACGTGAGCGCGCATCAGGCGACACGTGACGCGTGGCGTGACCATCCGTGACGTGTGGGGTGTCACACGCCGCGTGACGGCACACTCGTCAGCCGTGACGCGGTGCGTGCGCCGGCGGTCACGCTGTGACGGTGGCGGGCACGCAAACAACCACAGACCGTCACTTTCTCTCTCTCTCTCCTTCTGCGGCTCGGAGACGGAAGTGGCCGGCTAGAGTGTTGCCATGGAGATGGTAGCGATTGGAAAACAGTGTCTCCAAGCGGGGAGATGTAGTTTACGAGTTGGAAATCGAGAGGCGGTTTTGGAGATGAGAGGCTCGATGTTTGTTTATCGTTTGAGATTCTGTGTACACAGAACAAGGATATAGACGATTACATCTCAACTAGGTACTTGAAGTGTGCATAAAAACCACGATATGTAAAACACGATCCAATAGTGCATCGATATTAGGAGATTTCGAGCATTCTTACGACCTCAGCAAAAAGATCAAGCACATAAGGTTATGCTTTAGCAAAACGAAGCGTAGTAAAGGGTCCCGAATGAATGAAAATGAAAGGCACCACACAGACCTTCGTCACACGGCCGTCCCCAAACCAAACAATGGCAGGTGAACCAAGCGACGGAGCCGCAGACTTTCACCCAATTGCGGCTCCGTGGTCTATTCGAATGACGGCCTGTTCAAACTGTCGGGGCGCTGTGATGCATGCGGCCAAAACAGCCACTCGCAGCTGCTGCATATCGCCGTCAAACTATCAGTATAATGGGGCGACTCACAGCTGCTGCATATTGCCGTTGGGTAAGTAAACTTGCA